CAATTTATGCAAGTGATAAATTTATGAGAAATACTTGAACTTTATGCACTTACTAAACATTGATGAGTTATACATTTACATATAAAAATAAGGTTCGACAAATAATTCCATCTTCAATGTTCTTGATCTCTTGGAGCATCTCTTTGACTTGTATCTTGATTTGCAATTTTGTTAAGTTCCAATTTGATTGTCGCAAGCAAATCACTATTGTCTCAAATGATTTGTCTTGAATGATCATTTAAACTTCACTTGTACTTCATTTGAGTGCGAATAATAATCTTTATAACTGTGAAAGCTTAAACACTCAATTCAATTTGTTACTAAACAAGATGGACTTGTTTGTTATAATCAAAACATTAAGGTCATGATTAACCATAGGTCAACACCAAGTATGTATAGAAGGCTGATAGGCAGGTTGCTATACTTAATAATTACAAGGCCTGACCTATCTTATCCGGTGCAAGTTCTCAGTCAATATCTTGAGTCACCAAAACGACCACGTTTAGAGGCTGCTCACCATGTACTGAGATGTTTGAAAAGAACAGTTGGGCTAGGTTTGTTCTTTGATGCAAAATCTGATCTGCAACTCAAGGGATTTTATGATTCAGATTGGGCTACTTGCTTAGATACAAGACGGTCAGTTACCGGCTATTGCATATTCCTTGGAAATTCATTGGTGTCTTGGAAATCCAAGAAGCAACACATCGTGTCCAGATCATCGACTGAGGCTGAATATAGGTCAATGGCTGCTGCAATTTGTGAAATCAGTTGGCTGAAAAACATTCTTAAAGACTTAGGAGTCCAACACACCAAGGCTGCTTTACTCTTCTGTGATAACCATTCCGCCATCCATATAGCTAATTATCCGATATTCCATGAAAGGATCAAGCGCATAGAAATTGATTGTCACGTTGTTAGAGACAAAGTGCAAGATAGAGAGGTGAAAATGTTGCATACAGCATCAGAGATTCAGTTGGCTAATCTGCTAACTAAGCCGTTAGTTGGAGTCAAGTTCAAAACTTTACTTGGCAAAATGGGAATTCTGAATATATACTCTCCATCTTGAGGGGGAGTATTGAGATTTGTTAAATTGTATAGAGTTATTTATGTCTTTTGACACTTCCATTTTTGTGTATATAACGAACCTCTGTAGCTCAATTTCATTCTAACGAATTCAGCTCAATTCAACAGCTTCTACCGCCTTTTCTCTCCATTGCCAAATCTTATTTTCTCTTTTGTAAACTTCACATATTTTAAGGATCTATTTTAAAATTGATAAAAACGTGTTTGATTTGTCATTTTGAAAAAATATTTCTCAAAAGAGAACTAGATTGATTTGAAATTTTGGAAAAAATATTTTATGATAATTTCATGAAATTTGATTATTTAGTAAAATAGAATAATTTCATGTTAATATATTATCAAGTAATAAATACATTTTAAAGTTATTGAATCTTGCAATATTATTTTCGCTACAAAAGTAAAAAATAATAATAAAAACAATTGAGTTGGCAAAACATAGAAAATAAATAAATAAAAATTGATGACGATTGATAATTTTTATCTACATTCATTTAATATAATTTTTAGAATTTTTATGTAAGGTTATTAAGAGCTAAACTATTTTTTATATATATATATAATTTTTATTTTTCTATAATTTAATTTTTCTGAATTCATAGTTTTTTAGATTTCTTCAATTTTTTATTTTTTAGTTTATTTATTATAATTTTATATTTATTGCATTTTAGAGCTTTATTTTTTAGAATTTTATATTTTTGTCATTTATAATTTTTAATTTACAGAATATTATGCAAATAAAATTTTATTTACACGCTTATTCCCATGTTTTGAGTGTCTTTAGAGTTTTCATTGAAAATATTCAAAAGCTAAAAATGTGTTTTGAGTTTTATATTATAATTTTAACGTTGTTTTTGAAAATACATATTGAAAATTATCGGACCGAACAAGCTTTGTGAGTTTTGCAAAATTTAAAACGACAAACCAAATATATCCTTAGTATTTTCTTTAATTTATAAAACATATCATCCAGAAGCTTAAACCGCTAGAAAAGCATCAAATTTGTTTATTTAAATATTATTTATAACATACTTTTTGTTAAGGGTAAAATATCACAATTAAGATATGAAAAACTATAATCAATATATATAGGAAGGTTTGAACTATTTCTCTTGGTTAGTTTGAAGATGAATTCAAAACTCAATATGGTATTTGAGGTCAAAAAGTTCAAATGAGCAATTCAAGTGTCTAAAGCTCAAACGTACTGTCAGATTCTAGTATTGGTATTCCCAATTAAGTTTACTTCTAGTGCACGTTAAGCATAAATACCACATCCAACACATATAACGGTTTGAATTACTAGTCCTTAACAGGGTTGACTATTTAACATGAAATTCCAAAACTCAATATCCTAACTGGCTATGATTTAATTTTTCTTTCTTTCATTAGTTGCCGAACACATCAATTTTCATAAATGGAACATACTGAGTCTTGATGGCACCACCTTTGTTTAACACCTTGTTAATTCGACTCATCAAGCAACTTAAACTATCACAAAGAATATGAATTTATTGATTTACATTTTGTTTTCAACCTCTTTCTCACATTTAAAAGCTTAAATTGCCAAAAAAAATTTACTTATTTCAAATTCATCTTTCACACTATAGACAGTGTTATGACTTGCTATTAGCATTTGCCACGTGGTCGACCCAGTGAAGTTGTGGACCCATTCCTGCCGAACCACCAGCTATAGAAGACGAGGCCCAGATGGTAATTTCTGAGGCCCATTATTAATTCGAGGTGGACATGCTGAGGAGGCCCAGATCCAAGGCTCCATAGGTTCGAGGCTCCACTCCAATTAGCATCCCATGTACAGAGATCTTGAATTTATTATAAAAATCTTATTTGAATGATTGATGTGACTTGTAAAATGTGCATTTTGTGTCATGTCTTGTCAATAGAATGTAAAAGTATTAAATGCTTTGTAAAGTTAAGGAAATCAACGTGAAGGCTAGGATTTGACATTTCGGCTAAAGGGATGAGGCCACGTGTAATTTCATCATCATTCTGTTTTTAATACTATATATACCCCCACTATATAAAAAAAAGGGGGACTAATGCAACTTTAGATACTTGGAGCAATTGGTTTTATTCTCTTACATTCATTTACAATCTTAAATTTGAGTTTATTGTGATTGGTTATTATTATACAATCGTATCTCGGATATCTTGTCGAAACCCGAACGAAAATGTCTCGTATTGTTGAGTTTCTCCCACGTCCAATTGTAGAGTGATCTCGACCGTTGATCCATCTTTACGTGTTGGATTTAGCTTGCGCATGCACGAGTGGGTTTGTCATCTGTTGGTAGCATATTTTGAGGTGAACAGACAGCTCTGTGGTTTTTTGAACAGACATATCATCATTCTATTTTTCTTTCTTTTAACCTAAAGATAGAATATCGTCACAAAGTTGTCAATATCAAACACTTAACTCAAATCAACATAGCTATATATAGTACACAATATTGCATAGTTCCCGTCTTTTCTACACAAGTATACCAAGAAAACACCGGCAATGGAAGACAATACCTACGCCTCGACCCGCTCCCCCTTTTCAAGTTATCTACCTTGTCATTCCACCCAATAAAACTAGCCCGGGAAAGCATAAACGAGGAAACCACTTACAGCAATTGTTCACCATTTCTAACAGTAACTTGCATTTGATTACAAGTAACATACACTAATCGAACTTCTAATATTACTCTCCTCTAAGTGCACGTTCCGTATGTTGTACTCGAACTTACTCAACAATATAATGAATTTTTTTTTTTCTTTAGTGTCCCATGCTACTCAATCTTCCCTACATTGCATGCTGTAGGTGTCACCCTAGCTCCAAAGTAATATCAGCGACAGTTCAGCATATGGAAGACAGAGTATCCATCAGAACATCTGATGGGATGAGTCTGGTAAAATTGATAATCACGGCGAGCATGACCTTTACTCGCTCTTAACTGGTCCAGATGAAAATCTAAGAATTGAGTCGATAACAGCTAACCATGGGATCTACCAGTTGCAGGAATAGAGGCTGCTTCCTGAAATTGATGAACCATCATGATGTCGTTGCTACTGTCATTGAAAGGTGCAATGTCACCACTTTTTGCAGTTTTCTCCAGGAGTCGAACGAGCGAGATAAAAATTTCCATCCTCGTCACGTCCCTGTTTGCCTGCTTTAATCAAAGCATATATTTGAAAGGTTTTAGACATTCCAATGTAAAATCACATGAGGATGTAAAACAAGATGGAAGTATGTTAGTTCACTTAAGTAGATCAAATCCCAAATGCCAAGCTTCGATATGTCTTCCCCCATGCCCCGACACCCACACACATACACAAAAAAAAAAAAAAAAAAAAAAAAGGGAAATATAAAAGCAAACTTGCAGTTGGAAAGGAAAAAAACTGCAGTATCACAAACTATTTCAGCTATCTGATTTATGAACATGACTAAGAAGCATCAAAGTCCACAATCCGTGTCTACAAAAAGCATACCAAGATCAACCAATTTCTATGTTCAAGACTCGTTATAACCTAACTTAGTAAAGTAGATTTTCGAAGAACATTTAGAGAAGAGACTCTTAAGTTAATTATTTATATTTAATCTTCAGTACACTACCGATCATCACGTGCAGGCCAATTTCATTTTTCTATCAAAGGCATGTCACACACACAACTTTCATAAATAAGTGGTTGTGAAACTAGAACTAGAGATGCCTACTTTCTCTAGTGCCTTGTTGAATCATCTCATCTAAAACCTTAACTCATTTTTTTGTTTAAATTGAGACTTCAACAGTAACTATTACCTCAACAACAAAGCGTGCCCAGATCTTGTCCTTGCAACTTTCCATAAGCCCCTTCAAAATGGTTAACCCGAGCCCTCTAATTACATCAGCTATTTCTAAAAACAAACCCTGTTCTTCACAAAGCATCTGCACAAATGGAAAAGAACAAAGATTCACTAAGCTAATGAGAAACTAACAGAGCTTTATGAAACGAAGCCCAGTGACCATTAAATAAATATCCAGGTCTTAAAAATGTAATAGGCGCATGTAATTACCTCCACAAGCATTTGTTGGGGCTGGTTCAGATCCTCGACTATGATGGGGCAGACCATAGATGTTGAACCAACTTCATAAGCCCATGTTGCTCCACCTTTAAAGTCATCTTTTAAAAGCACACCACCATCCTTGCTAATAATCTGAAAGTTTACGAAAGAGAAAGATAAGCTGTCTTAATTCATTCCAAACTTTCGTACGTAACACTAGTGGAGTTCTCCACTTCATCACATTAATCAAATTTCACAATTCTTATATTCTCGTAATGTCCTGAAATTTATAATATACAAAGTTCACATTGAAACGTAATTTACTTCACCAATGTGATATATATATCCTGTCATCTTCCTAAGTCCAATTTGTCCAATGTACAGCTAGATTCAAAAAGTTATGCAAAACACTTGAGGGGCATGTTTGGTGTGCAGTATGGGTTGGACAATAGAACAGATCAAGATCTTAACCTTTTCTACCTTTTCTATACAGTCTAGTATTGTACAGTCCATAAGTCCACCCTACCAAATGAGTCAGAGAAGTTCAAGTGGTATATCGCACCTTCGATTCTCCTGTTTGTTTTAGCTTATCTGCATGCTTTGTGACACTTTGCATGAATGTCATATGCTTGATAGTGCGCTCCAGAAGAGAATCAATGCTACACTGTTAACAAATTTAAACATGTATGAATATCATTACAACCCAGCTTATCTCAAAAGGAAGTAAAAATTCGAGCTTCCAAAAAGAGGTCTTACCTTTGACCCATTTGGCACGATTTCCCTCAATTCCTTGACACGGTCTTGGATCATTTGGCGATCTTTTGGCCGGGGTCTTGGATTTTCACCTGGTTTAAGCCTCTTCCGCTTTGCTTTGCTGACTTCATCACATTTCTTAGAATAACCGGTAGACACACTGTTCGTTTGCTTCACATCATGAAACTTTTTGACCCATGAACTTATTTGTGATTCATAAATAGAACTTCTTTGGGAATAGGTTCCCAAGTCATTCTTGGAAGGTCCAGAGACAAAGGAGCAAGAACTCACTGTTCCTGCTTTTGCCAAATATTTCGGAACACCAAATAACTCTCCCTTCATTTGATCTGACGCCCCAACCCGGCCATAAGGAAGTGAAACATCAGGTGCAGATGAGCAAGTCGTATTTGACAACATTGTCTTACAAGAAACATTGTCGTCTAAGCCGTGCTTAGTATAAGAGTGAACCCCAGAGACAATGGCATCTAAGAGATGGTCACCGTCAGTCACGTAGGAATTGCCACTATCCGAGTTCCCTTGACCAATAATATATATTTCGGAAGCAGCGTCCTCACTTTTTATGGACGGAGAATAATTCTTATCCGAATTATGTTTGTTCCAGTCTGATCCATTGTTCAAACCATTGCTCGAACAACTATTAAGTAATTTATTCTTAAAATCAATGCCCAAAATGTCAAACAAGTCGTCTCCTGATAGAGGTTGGACATGTCCATCTTCACATGCGGAATTTTTCAATATATCCGAAGACTGATGCTTGACTGCAGAGATATCTGAAAGCAAGTGATTCATGGTCAAATTGTCAACAGAATCAGAAAAAGATGCCTCCATTTTGGACGAATCAGCATTCAGAAGCCCACTTGAAGTTGGATCCATGTAAGCTATAGCACCAGAATCTTCGTGAGAACTAGAAAACTGGCCTGATTTTGTTCTCAATGAAGATGTGAGAATGCCATTGGAAACGTTTGGGCAGCTAAAATGGCCTTCCACACCAGCATCTGGTAAGATTTGTGGTTCTGGCCATCTTAAGCTGCCACTATTTAATGTAGATGTACTGCTAGAATGTTCATCTAATCTCGAAGTTGGGATGTACAGAGAAGCCTGTTGGCTTATTTCCGAACATGAGGGAATAACTTCGGCTTTTGTCCCTCCATTCACTAACGGGTTTGTGGAAGTAAAGTTCAAATTCATTGACGAAGCAATTTTTGCTTCATTGTGGACATCATCAGGCTTAACATGACTCATTATTGAGTTTGATGCTTGAAATTCTCCAACATTTGACTGATGGCTTACTGAAGACCAAGATGTTTGACTAGCGAACATAGAAGTCTGACTGGGATTTTCAAAGTAGTTGCAACCGTCATGTTTTGCCGCATAGTTGTCGGATAGCAAGACACCGGGTAGATATCCCAGCTGACGAACCAAGTTCTTCACATCATTCACAAATTCCACATTTTCCACTATCTGAGACAGCAAAGTCACATACGTCAACTTAATGAGAAGATACCTTTGCATAGCTATTAAAGGTTCACCTCTAATACTCGAAATAATCGAATTTCATTTCATATACAAAAGGCGTTGCCTTGCAACAAAATTACACTTCATTGTTACAATTTTCATCAACACCACAGCATATGTTTAAGTATTCGTGTCTACATTATGTATAGAATACAGAGAAAGAACTTACTGCCAAGTGTGAACCAAGCTGAACAACACCATGGGGAAGAACAGGAACAACTGCAATTGTCTGAGAGGGGGAAAACCAAAAAAAAAATTGACAAAACAACAAAAAGCTGGGTCCCAAACAAACCAAGAAAAAGAAACTTTGAATATTTTTACCTGCATTCCAGCTGAAAATTGTTGACACGCTTCTTTTACAACCTAGAAACCAATAAAAGATAAGTGATTTAACACTGTTCAAGCTTCGAAATAATTGGAACTTACTGTAACAGAGATTCATAATATCTTAGAAATTTCAATAATGTATCAACTGTTTGTAGATGTTTGCAGCAATCTATTTCAACAGAAACTAGCTTATGGGCTAGCCAAGCCAAATGCGAAGCAAGTTTAAAGAAATGATAGGCTTCCAAACAAAGAAGAGCTAGAAGCAAATGTGTTGGTTGAATAGAAAGCGTGATGAATGCACTTATCCTCCTGACTATAGATTGACTACGTAGGATCTTCCATATTTGTACTAAGTCACCCAAATATTACTAAAAAAAAAGGATTTTCAAGGGGCTGTTTTCTGATAGTCACGGATTGAGACTGAGAGGCATACGATCACCATCGTGAGTTCTTCTTTTTGATAGTGACAACCTTTAGAGGCAAGTGGACGTAGCCCTTACATTGAGGATGAACTACTATGAATGTGTGCTTTGCTCATTTTCTTTTTTTTTTTTTTTTTAGTTATCTCGTAGATAAAAATTAGAAATTAATCCATAACGTGCACAAAGCTGAGCGTCATAGTATGGCACTTTCACTACAAGAAAGCAAGAACTCTATCACTAACAGAAGTCTCTTAAGCTATACCTCTGTTGGATGTGCTTCTCCAGTAAAGCTCTCAGAAAGAATCCACTGATGATTTCCAGTAAATGCAGCCCTTCCGATTAGTCTGAGATACAAATCCATAAATGTAATTAAGATGTGTTCAAAGCAACTTGTTCTCGGTCTCAAATTCAACAAGAAATACATAAATAAATTTAACGGAATCACTATTACCCTTCTCCAACAACATTAACATAATTGTCCATCATCATTCTGTTCACAAGCATGTGCACTTTGTTCCCTGCTTGAGCCCCGGGCTGTAAATTACGAGTTTCAGCTGAAGCCCAGGAAGCATCATAATTTTCAAGACAAATTTCAGGATTCTCAATCCCGGGTAGACTAGAACATGATATAGGTTCATAATAACATTCTTCCCAAATTAAAAGCCTGTGAAGTCAGAATTCAGTTGAAATCAACACATCTTTCAGAACGTCGTAGTCTAAAAGAATATTTTTAAAGAAAACAAAGACGAGAAGGAAAGTACACAAAGATTTGAACTTTACAAAATCGAAATGAACAAATTCATTCTCAGGAAATCATAAACAGTAGAAAGGGTTTCATCAGACTAAAACAAGTCTCATAACCTCACACTAAGATTCTTTGAGACAAGCAAATGGACAGACCACAAAACTCCAAAGATAGAAAATGAAATTTATCAGGCAAAAACAAGACAACAATATCCAGTAGGTCTACAACACGTCAAATCATATCTCGATTATCGAGGATTAGGCAATTCTAATCCATGGCTAATGTTTGGTGAAATGGATAGGACATTACTAGACAGTATTAAACAAGAAAAAACAAGCCAAGCTTTCGTTCTACTATCCAATACGACGTGCACAGATTGTACAGCATTATTAAGGACCTGAACAAAAAAGTATTATCATCAGTTCATACTTTTATTCCTTCATTTGTTCTTCATTACCAGCACAAACTCCAAGAAAAAAAAGAAATAGATTAGTCCCCAAAATTAACCAAAAGCAACTGAAAAAAAGCACATATCCAAGAGTAAAATTTATACAAGATGTCATAAATGTAAAACCATAATTCAAAATATATTCCAGTGCCACCCTTTCCTTGGAAACCAAAACCACAATTCAGAAGCCTATTTTTATTTTTTTTCTTTTCTTCCCCTCATAACCACCACACATAAAAAAGACATAGTAGTCATATATACTTCAAAAAAATATAAAAAAGGATATGAAGAGCCTAAAAAAGAAAAGTAATTAATTTTTATTGAACTCACTTCGGGTTTTGTAAACCAATCTTCCAGAAAACAGCATAAGACCATTGATTGACTCCACAAAGAGTCTTCAATGCCTCTTTGAATAAGTACCCCATAGCAATTTGAACCAACGAAGAGCAGAATATATGAATATTCTTGTATGTATCTGTAAACAAAGATATATCTAGAAAGATTCTGTTCAGAACTGTGAAGAAAAAGGATAATATTTGATTTTACTACTCCTTTTCCCAGGGAAGAAACACTTTCCTTCCCTTTTCCTTCAGTTTTTCCTGATGGGTTTTTAGCCTAACTTCCTCTGCAAGACCCACGCCCTGCCTGTTTTGTTCTCAACCCACCACTCCTTTTCCTCTCTGGATCCAAATTCCCTGCTATGAAGCTCTTGCAATCCATTCTTCAGAGTAAAATGAGAAGGAAAATGAAAGGTAAAACTTTTTCTTGTGCAGATGGAAAACTAAAAACACAATACCCTTTACTCTGTTCTACACTATTCCAGTGGATTTGAGCTCACAGTTAACCACAACAATGAATTTCCCCATTTCTCAACGCATAGAAATTGTAATTTACGCTGTGTGTGAAGGAAAGAACTCTGGATATGATTTTTATGCAAGTTCTGAAATCTTGTTTCTTGTAAATGATCTTATGTCTACTTTTCCTTTGTGTTACACTGCTGAGAAAGATAATGGGGGTGGGGGTGGGCGGGGGCTTGGGGTACGAGGTGTATGTTATTGATTGGACGCCACTACAAAGAACATTTATAACAAATATAAACCTAAATAAAAAACAAATAAAGAAAGCAAAATTTTGCAGTAAAAAACCAAAAGTTTACAATCTGTAATGAAATAGAGGAGAAGAGTGTATGAACTATATGATGATTAATCAATGAGAGGTGGGAGACAAAACCAGGCATGATTTTCGGTGAAAACTACAATCTTTGCCATTTTCTTTGTCGTATTTCTGGGCTTTTTTCAACTAATTTCTTGGTGACTCAGAAATTTGTGTCTGTATTTTGGGACTCTAAAAAGAATCTCGGAATTGGTTCAGTCAAAAACACTAGAACTGTTCCCTTTAATTTAACACCCAAAAAGCAGAATGTACAACTCTGAAAAAGAAAAAAAAAATTATCTGATATTTCAGCTTTCTAGGAAAAAGAATTTCAGGAATTGGAATCTAATTTTGCTTGAATCCCAATATTGCAATTGTTGTTGTTGTTGTTGTTGGAACATATTGGGACCGCATGTTCAGTACTCGTCCTAAGTAAAATTTAACAGTATAATTAATAAATTTTTAATTTCGATTGAGTAACTATCGAATATGTTCGTGTTATGATTTTTGCTATCCAATACTAATTAAAATGCTAATAATAATTAGTAAGTAGTTAAGAGCAATGAACTAGATGTGAGATGTACGAGATCAAAGAAACGAGTTTAAAATAAAAAATTATCAGTTATTACTTTCAGTCTAATTAAGCATAATATCGTAAAATTTATCATTCGAAACTCAGATGTCTAGATATTGTATATCAATAAAGAAACTTGTTTTTTTTTTTTCTAAACTAAGAAAAAGGATTAAAGAGTATTAGGGTCCTAATTTGACATCAGTAATAACAAAATGTTTAATAAAACATACAATTTAGAAATAAATTTAATTTATTTTAAACAGAGTAAAAAAAATACTTTAAAAGATATTTTATGTCATTTTATCTAATTGAGGGGACAATAAAGACAGTTAAGACACACTGCCAAATAAAGTCTCACATCTAAAAGCATACAACCTCAAAAGGACAAATACCTTTGTCTATTGTATTGTATTTGAGGAACCTGACAAGAGTATGGAATTACCTTTTTGACCCTCATTAACCTCCAACCTTGAGTTTGTGCAGTAAAATTAAGAGCCTAAAGTAGGCTGCAGGGTTTTCATTTAATTATCACATGATTATCCTATATACATATTTCACTTCAAACTTCTAAACACATGCTTATTTTGTAAGCAAACCCTATTGAAAATGATGAGTGGAAATCGATGTTTCTGATTAGATAGAAGTTGTTAAAATTAAACTATAATATAGCGATAAAAAGGGGAGGATAGAGGATTGGTCTTTCGTAATTTTTTGAGATCACTTGAGCATGGTTATTGTAGCCTGAGCTTGACGAGTTATGAGCTACCTTTATGCTTAAGGATGTTTGAGGAGTGACAACGAGGGAAGTATTGCCTCGATGAATTGCTTTGCACATTATAGCCAAAAAGTGACTGACTATTTGCTATTGGTTTGGGCTTTGAGTTCTGGTATTCATTTTGCTCCTATGAATCTATTTTATCTAATAATGTTGATTTATTTCATGAGGTCGACAAAGAAATTTGTCACATTGTACATCCCTTGAAGAAAAAAGTGTCAACAAACTAAATTCTTTTTTTTTTTTTTTCATCATTTAGGTGTTAGAAATAGTAAATTAAGTATTACATAATANAGGTGCATTGATCAGTTAATGTTTGAGTTTCATTATCTAAAAACTCATTTTTTTTCTTAAATTCATTTTCAACCCCACATTCTTTCAATAGAATAATTTATATGTGAATTCATAATTTTTTTCTTACTTTTTAACTACTTTTTTCAAAAAATTACTACTACACAATTGTTATTATTACTCTTATAATTATTTTATATATTTATTTATTTTTTATTTTTTTTTGAGAAAAATGGGACTCGAAGGGGGCCGAGTTCCTTTTTTCATCTCACTGGCCGTTTCCGGTGATGTTCATCTGCTGACCTATTGACGTTATAAATGATTACCCTCACCTTTCTGCCATAATTACACAAAGTGGCAGATTAAATTCAGGGGTCCTTCTCGACCACAGATTTTGTCGGGTCAGGACCATGGGTCCACCGGGTCCATGACGACACTGTCACTTGGTTTACCTTTTTTTTTTTCTTTATTCTTTTTCATATTTTCTTTTCTTGTAAAGTTCAAAAAAGTTTTATTTGGGAATAATAATAAGAGTGATGCTACGTATACATCATAGTGTACACACGACTTTACACTCTCCTCACATGGAGAGGGCCCACACACAATAAAATATTCGTGGGCCCCCTCCATACGAGGGAGGTGTAAAGTTATGTGTACACCACGAAGCATTTTTCTAATAATAAACTATGCACTTGCTCTAATATTAGTTATTAATTTCTCACAAATTTGACTTTTTATTAGATTAATTAGGTATAGTTGAGCAAATACATATTTTTATATTTCTTTAATTATTTTTTATTTGATAGGCGGGATATAATTAAAAATAATTTGAGTAACTAATTAAAGAATTACCAAGTTTAATTATTTTAATTACTAGTTAAAAATAACTCGCTTAATATTGAGCAAAAGAAATTTTCTAGTTACCTACTATTAGTTACTAAAATACACTAGCATTACTAATACGGTACTAAGTAAGCCCGTGTTTGACAACTATTATGAAAAAAAAATTCTATATGCTCATTTTCAAAAAATTTCTCTACTTTTTAAATACACATTCTCTTAAAAATCACTATTTAAAACATTATTTTTCTCAAATAATGATTGTCAAACAAGGGATAACTATCACATGGAATCGAGGAAGGAAAATTCTTATAGTCGCCTAAGAATTTATTTAAAAAACAAATTCATTTTATTAGTATTCTACCCTATTTGACAATCATTAAATGAGAAAAATGTGTTTTGAATAGTGATTTTTAGAAAAAATATGTGGTTAAATATTTTAGGATTTTGCTACATGTTCATCAAGATTTACATATTGTATTACATAATGTCGCAAAATACTCTTCATTTGTCAATTTAAAACACAATCATTTTTTTCATCCAATTTTTTCCATCTACATCATATTATGTAATCTATTATGTACAAGTAGCAAAATTCAATATTTTATCATGTGAATGTGTGGTTAAAAATTAGTATGTTGAAAAATAATTTAAAAATAATGATTGTCAAACAGGGGTTTAAAATGAATTTTTTTGGGGGACATGAGTTTTTGAAAAGTGATTTGGAAAATGAGCTCATGTATTCGAATGAAAAGAGGTAAGAGAGATTTTTTTTGTTCTTTTTAATATTTTTATAAGTTTTGGATTGATTTGCATTTTTAGAAAGTTTAGGAGTAAGATTGCAATTTATTCTTGATTTTTCTTTTCTTTTCTTTTTTGTTTTATTTATATAGAAATGTATATTAATCATTTTATGTTAAAAATTGGTAAAAATGACGTTTTGCACAAAAACGTGCAAAGGTATGGACGTTTTGCACCAATTACCCAAAACTAAACATTATTTGTTGTTGAGAATGATGCATATATAATCTACATTTGTTTCGATTAGTTATATAAGTTAATTTTTAAGCATATGAAAAAATTACTTTTAAATAAAATATTGCTTTTTTTCATACTTTATTATTAAAATAAGTAATTTGCGTACTTCTAATTTCAACAAATAAAAGTAAATTATTTTAAATTTACTTATTTACTCATAAATGAACTTTTAAAGTTTAACAAAAAATCTAAATGTTGAAATGAGTTGGAAAATCATTGTCTCTTTTTCTTTTATTAATTCATTTTCCATGAAAAGTAATTATGGGTTGTAAGAAGTATTAATGACTTTAATTTCTTTTATCATTGCAACTTTTACAATAATGATAGGACTTTGGGGCCCTTTCCCACCAAATGATTAAATGTGCTTTGATGGTTCAAGTTTTTGGAATCACTAATTATCATTATCCTTATCTTAATGATTCGACGGTCGGATGGTGAAATTGATTTGAAATCAATCTTGTCATAAAAAAGTTATGAACAAACACTATTTTTCAACTGGTACTGTGATTTTTTTTGGGTTGCTAAACTTGAAAAGGACAAAACATAACGAAGACTAAATGGTTTGACGAATTTCATGAGTATTAAGAACAAGTTTTAAGGTACTATTCATACGTATTTAAACAATCATTAGTTGACCTAACTTGATGGAAAATGCTGTTGAAACCAACCTCTGAGGTCATTATGGTCGGATTAATCACCGTCATTAGAGGAGCATATGTTGAGTTCGATGACGCAAGGTCGGCTCAGATGTAAATACCTTCTAGGAGAAGCTCGTGTAATCTTTCAAGACAAGGAAGAATATAATGATTGAAGATCTCTGACAAGATATATGGGTTACCAATCACAAGGATACACTTGAAAAAGTCTGAAATCAGCGTCCACATGATTCTCCAATCAGAAACGTTAACATCCTCCATTAAGTAATGCATTAATTGTTGGGGGCCACTTTCAATTAATGCTCTGAAGAAGTTTGACAAAATTCAGCTCGGCAACCAATCGAACCGCACCAACCACTGTATTTCCTCAACTCGAAATTCCAGTGACAAGACA